TTAAATTGTGTTCCGAAGATGAACGAAGGTCTTACGGGTTTGGAACAACACGAGGGTGAGTAGTAAATGACAGCATTTTCATTTTTGGGTGAACTAACCCTTTAAATATTTCCACAGAATTTCATATGAAGGCTGACCTCATGTAAGCTGATTGCCCTTCTAACACAATGCAAACCCTTGTTTATCTCATCCGGCTTATTTGCATTGAACAAGTTAAGAAAGTGTGGACCAAAGATAAACGTCCGCTCACATCATGACGTTCCTGTCACAGTGCCAGCAGAGTCAGCATCACTTCAGTTGACCGTCATGCCCCATCTAAAAGACAGATTAAAGACGTGCATTTGGAGATGAGGTCATTGTTCTTGATAAACGCAGCACAGCCTGCGTCCCACAAGGCAGCAGGTGTCAGGCATACAGAAAGCCAAAGATTTAAAGTAATGATTGTATGTCACTCCCCACCCTCCTCCTCCACTTTTTGCCGTCCTTCAGAGCCCCCCTACATTAGGCAATCAGCTAGTTCCGTGTAGCAATGGCCACATGGAGTCAAATCCCCAGTTTGTACACACACCATCTGTTGTGCCCAGAAAATTAATGGTGGGAGGCTTGGTCTGACAGCTTGCAATGTGTTCCAAGAGCTCCTCCTTAAACGGAAATGAGCCTTCCTGCTCCCACCCAACAGTCTTTTCCTCGCCTGAAGGGAATTGCTCCTTGCACAAAATTTAAACCACTATTTCTTAAACTTGGAGATGTTTGCGGACAAGCAAACTCTCCACATTACATAAGTTTCGCGAGAGGGAGTGGAGAGGCAAAAAACATCTGGGAAGTCCATCAACTCGCTACATTACAGAGAGAGCTCTTTCATTATATTTAACGGTCCCTCATTAAAACATACCTTGAAAAACGATCCTTCAAGGTAAAATGACACGTTTATGATGCTACTTCAATGCCTAAGACTGCTCCAAAAACATCTATAATGAACCAGACCTGAATCAGAATGACAGAAGGTGGAATCATCTGGATCTGGTGGCTTCATTCTCAGAACTTGAAGCAGTTAAAAGGTCAATAGTTTTGCCCTTCAGGGCTGAAATTACCTTAATTGACAGGGTCCTTCCTGGTCAAAGTGGTTGTAGAAAAGAAGCCATATAAAAACAAAAGGGTTTGGAGTATCTCTAGCCAAGGACATTTCAAAGTCTTCAATTTAGGGATGACTAGTGGCAACTAACTAGTTGATTAGCAAGATCATCTAGTTTACCTAGATTTTTTTTTCTTGTATGCCATTCAAACGTTTGGGGTCAGTAAGATTTTTTTTTTTTAAATCAATACTTTTATCAATACAAGGATTCATTAAATTGATCAAAAGTGATAGGAAAGACATGAGATTACAAATTATTTATATTTCTAATTAATGCTGTTCTTTTGATTTTGTTTTCATCAAAGAACCCTGAAAAACAGTAGAAATGTAGAAAATCATAGCTTCCAAAAAAAGCACTGTTTTTACCATAGATAATAATCCATGTTTCTTGCGCACCAAATCAGCGTATTAAAATGATTTCTGAAGGATCATGTGACACTGAAATCTGGAATAATGACTTCTGAAAATTCAGCTTTATCATCACAGAAATAAATTACATCTTAAAATATATTAAACTAGAGAACTGTTATTTTACATTGTAATAATATTTTACAATATTACTAGTCTTACTATATTTTTTTATCAAACAAATGCAGCCTCGGTGAGCATAAGAGACTTTCAAAAACATCAAAAAATAGTACATAGCTTTTGAATGGTGGTGTACAGTTTTTACTAGTTACATAGTTATGCATATTTTATTTTATAGATATTTATCGTTATTTAAAATGTTTCTTTTTCAGCTGTAGTGCTTAAGTTAGCATGCTTTTGCTTTACTGCTGTTTACAGTTTACACCTCATACAATCTGTTCTATCTAGATTTGCAAAAACTATGTAAACCCTAGGAAATGCCCCCTAAAATAAGAATTATATTTTTGTAGAAGCCCAACAGATTATTTCTGTATACAAAAGTCCAATGATTATTTTTGTTTCATCTGTGAATGGAATGGGGAGATCCAATGATATTAGCCAAGAAAACCACATCTGCAGATGGACAACAAACCATGCAAAGATTAAACAGTCAAAAAGACTCCTCCTTATCCCACGGGGGCCTTAGGTAAATCATTGGCCAGTACATGGAGAAACAGCCATGGCTGAATATCCTTGTCAAGTCAACAGCAGGAAACATGCAGCCATGTGAAAAGTCCGGTGCTACAGATCATTTGCCCCTTTATTCCCAAAAACTTTCCAAACAATCCAAATACCACTCAGATTGCTAGCAGGACAGAATGGGGAGGACATATCCAGCACACAGGGCCCAATGGAATCCCACACAAAAACATGATAATGTGACAAAATCAAGAACCTATAATATACAGTAACTAAAGTCTAACTAGCAGAGCTCAATACAGACCTTCTCATATGCGTAATATATTAAACCTCTGTTTTGAGGAATGATTGATCACATATTCAAATAAGACTGAGATTTTATGGTCGCAGCTCAAAACACCCCAAGGAATATCACAGGAATGCTGTAATTTAAAAGTTATGTGGGGACTTTCTGAATCATATCCTGTTTATTTTGACTTTTTAGTATATTATTTTAATTGATCCCCTCTTACTAACCTGTTCATTACCGCAGTAGGAAATGTCCCATACCATATTATCTACCTGAGGAAAGTAACAGCTCAGAGAAAAGGAGCCGTTTGAACATCACAGAGTATTACAAAACACAAACATCTCAGGTGTGTGATTAACTAGTTGCTTCTTCTTCAACTTTTAGTCTCTTGCATAGACTTTGACATTTTTGCTAATCTTTGACAAGCAGCAGTCTATCATATAAGAGTCAATACAGATATTAAGGTTGAAGAAGCTGGCTTCTGGGTCAGTAATGAACAGAGGTTTACTATGCTACTCATGCCTGCCTGAAGCTTCTGGATGCACACAAAACAGCCTAGATAGAAAGCCACACATTAAGGCCCAATCCCAATTCTACCCCTTAGCCCTTCCCCGTTCACGTGAAGGGGTAGGGGTGTCTCAATTCTCTTTTGGTTGGAGGGGTAGGGGTAGGGGAAGGGCCAGACAGCCCTTCAAACGAAGATTTTTCGGGACCACACTTCAAACGAAGGGGTATGAATTATCTCAGCGTAAACCGGCTTCAGGGGCAACATGGCTGCCTGAGCGAACAAAAAGACACATACATGTAAGCATTTTTGGCATTAATAAAGATTTTAACGAAAAGTAATCATTTGTTTTATGTTACATTCAATCATGAGTTCATATTTACGGTCATGTTACTCAAAGAAAAGAAAATAGAATTGGGATTGGGCCTAAGTTCATGAAGATAAAAGTGCTGCATGTACTCCATATGTCCACTATCTCAGCTATATTGTGTGTGCTCCCAAGTATTAATCCATTAAGAAATCCTTGAGCAGACAAGCTATCTTCTGTACTTGGCACACAGGTTGTTTCCTTTGGCAGCATACACAAGCCCTTGTTTCACCTAATAACTTCCTTAGTTTCACTCTGTTTTCCCCCGTGCATGCAGTTTCTTAACTGTGCATCACCATGAGGGCCCGATCTGAGATGCTTTGCTTTTGCTGAGCCAGCAAAACAACAGACATAATTTTTTTCTCTCTCCTTACACTTCCCACTCCTTTTTCACCATCTGGCAGAGGTTCACAGGCAAAAAAAGCTCTTCTGTGAGTTTCTGTTTTGACCACAGTGACTCTATAGCTTTTTGGGTGTTTTGCCAATCAAGCAGACCTAAAATGCATTCTGAAAGTTAATTCATTCAGACTCCAGGCAACATCCCCCTTCGTCACTGATGCATTCCAGAGATTTTGACGCCTGTCAGCATGTATCCAACAGGAAATATTTTGATTTAAAAACCCCAAAAATAGGAAATCTGCTCTCCTCGCACTAATCCAATATGAGAAGAACGTAATCAGGAGTGAATATCTAAATGAAAATATGGAAAGCAGATCTGTTATCTTGTGCGGAAAAATGCTTTTTTTGATGCCACTGTTTGGATGGAGACATCTGTCTTGCCTTGAATATTTAGGGGCCAAGCCCCTATTGTATCCATTAGTTTTCTTCACTCAATATTCTTCTTCTTCTTCTTCTTCCATATAGGTTGTCTATGGCAGCCCTATGAACCATAAGTAGGAAAATTATCAAATTTGGCACACGTGTAGTGGTGGTCCTGATTAGTGATCTGACCAACTTTGGGGTCTCTAGGACAAACTCTATAGCACCACCACCAGTTCAAATATTCACTTTTCAAACAGTTATAACATTTGAACCCTTTGTTCTAGAAAAATTAAATGTAGTTAATCTGATTCCACTCTTCAATCTGATTACATTCAATAGCTTACAGGAAAACTCAGTAGCGGCCATTTTGAAAAGTACAGTGTTTGTTTTTTTTGCTACTCCTCCTTTAAAATTTCTCCAATTCTTCTGAAAATCGGCATGGATGATCTTTGTTCTGAGCCGCACAGAAACAACTGAACAGAATTTTGATATTCATCTTTGTTCAAAAGTTATGATGTTGTAAACTTAATGTTTACCCAAAATTGGTTCAGAGGCTATATCTCGGCCAAACTTTTGATTAATCGAAATGAAACTTGGTACACTTTATCAGCAACATGACCTGAGGGTCCATGCCAATCAATGTTAACAATTTGGCAACAATGCCACCTATGGATCATGAGATATGAAAATTTGCTATTTTTGCTAATAACTTTCATTTTGAAATTTTACATAAATTAACATTTATTTTGAACAATTTGACATATCGGAACAAAAATTGGTAAGAATCATCAACAGCATGTCCAAGAAGTACCTGATAAGTTTGAACACATTCCTAGTGTTCCAGAGATATAATGATTTTTTGCAAAAATGCTTATAACTTTTGAAAACATTGTAGAAATTGTGTTATTTTTGTTTCTTTTCATTTCCTGGGTTATGCCAATTCTGACAATATCTTAGTGATGTGACAGTCGAGCCTTCAAAGCTTGTATCAAAAAAAACATCTCACAATGAAGCACTGTTGCTGGAGCTTGATTCGTTTTGCCAAAACCACGTGATCTGTAACATCCGAAGCTTCGTTTACGCACACAACCACATGACTACTTCCTATTCTGATTCAAATAACGTGAACCCCTTGTAGTTTTGTGCATGTTCAGTTTGTATTAATCCCTGCTTCACAAGCACTTCAATTGACCATTCCATAATAATCTTCATTTAATTTGATCATATGTGCATACATGAGCCATGCTTATTTTTTCATAAATTTATCCAGACTCCATTATTTTGCCTGTCCTCCATATTGAAGTAAATGAAAACAGTTTTATCGCTACTCCTCCTACAAATTTTGTCCAATTTCTTGTCCAAATCTTAAGTGTTTTGAACTTTTGAGATGCACATTGTAAAGCTTTTGACTGTTAAGTGTGATACGTGCCTTGATTTGTTTGCTGTGATTATTATGCTTGCTATACATGCTGAGCTGAGCTTGAAGTAGCAGCGGTTGCTATGCTTGCTGCACCTTAGGTGCTTGGCCCTGTATCACTGCTTGCAGCTATATTTTGATTATAATGCAAAAACTGGGAAATCTGTCTTGCTTACACTAATACGAACTAGCATGAGAGGAATGTCATCAGGGAGGGACATCTAAAAGAAAGAAAGAAAGAAAGAAAGAAAGAAAGAAAGAAATGTCAAACAATAAATGATGGCACTGTTGATGAAGACATGACTTCTGCTGTCCTGCTCACAATCTAAAAATTGGGAGATTTCTTTCTCACATTAATACAATGTAACAAAGAAAGAAAGAAAGAAAGAAAGACAATTAAATTTACGAAAGAATGAAAATCAAATAATGACACTGTTGATGAAGACATCTTGACTTCCTCACAGGAAGTCACCTGACTCTAAATTTGTTGCCAGTACACCTGGCTGAAGTTCAGTACAGAAAAACTTTCTTAGCTCATACATTTTTAATGGAATGGAAAAGCACTGTGACTATTTGAACTTACCACTTCGATAATTTTTAAAATACCGAAATGTGATTTGATATAGTCCAGGTCACACCTGATGGCCCTGAACACGTTTCTGGAGTGCACGGGCTCGGTGGTCGGCTGATACGGACTATTGGCTCCTGAAATCATCGAGGTGTTGGAGGCCTCGCCATCAAAGCCCTCAGTCTCCTCGTTATTCCTCATGCTGAACTCTTTTATCTCCACGTCCCGCCCAGATATAAGAGCAGATTCGGGGCTGAAATGAAGAGCTGTCCACTGGTCCACTGAAAACAGCCAGGCAGAAAACAATGTCTCAACAAAGAACAACCCTTGTTACAAAACGATCACCGTAAACTCCAGCCGTGTGTATGACCTACAGATCCCGAGCCCAAACACTACATCCACCTCTCCGTCATCTTTGCGCTGTGCTCGGATCCTGTTATGAACAGTGCTGAACGATCTTGAACGATCACGGCTGTTCTCATGGCAGTGTCCATATTTCACAGCTTCGGGATGCAGAATGTAATGTTGCCGCGAGTCTCCGCCCTCCAAACTACATTCCTGCGAGGACAGACGATTTTATGCAAAGTCCTGACTGATGTTAGAGAAACAAAAGCACGAAACAGTCATACTTCTAAACGTCAAGCTTTTAGTTCTTGTCTTCCCTCATGCAGGTGAAGATCGCAATATATGATTCATCAAATGCGAAACGACACGGCAGTTTAAAGTGTCGCTATGGCAAGCTGTGTTAACGTTTATTCCTTGAAACCAATTGAAACATTTTAATATTTAATTCTATGGGGATGGTGTTTACTATGTGTGCCAAATGCTGCTGTTAAGTGTTCCAGATGTACTAGTAGTTTACATATTAGATACTTGTAGCTGAAACTGAAAAAGATGTCATTAAAGGTTTACTTACCTACTGATAAAACAGTACTGAATACATGTTAATTTGGCTTGCCACAGTATGTCAGTTTCCAAATCCTAGTGCGTAGTCTTCCTATAGACAGCATGTTGGTATTGGGTAGTTTTTAATATGAACTGTTGGTACTGAGTACAGCTGCAGAGACAATTAGTAAACCACTTGTAGACTTATTTAGAAACACTGTAAATACTGTCTTTGTGTTGTAACAATTGGTTCTCATGACAGTATACCTAAATAAGCATATGTATATATAAATAAAAAACTACTATATACTACATTATGCATTCACATGTATGCATGTACACATTTATATTTTACATCTTAAAAAAGAGAGAAAAAAAGATGCATATTGGGAGAACAGCACTGCCCCCTACTGGTTTGATTCCCAAAATAATGCAACCATCTTAAAACTGTGGCATATTTTAAACCGTGGTTCAAAAGGTCAATATTAAATGAAATATTAATCAGTGCTGTAATGCTGCCTCCTAAAATGTTGTGCATCTTCTGGAATTAACTGACAAGCAAAAAACTAATCACAAGATAGTTGTAGTCTGGATTTGTATTTTATTTAAGCCAGGACTGAAAAAAAAAAAGACATTTCCTTATCTTTGTTTGCATTAAAAGCTAGATTTCACATGGCCACGTACTGCATCAAGTTAAAGCCATACAATCAAACTCGCTTTAAGGTACAGCTCACAAACACAGTCCTTTGTGTGAATAGAAAGGTCTTTCAATTCCTGTATAGAAAATTTTGGAAGCCAAGAGCATTTTCTTAACATTTTCTTTCTTACAGGGGTAAGTGCATATTAGAAGGATTATACAGAACAAAGCCATCCTAGTCTGAATGAAATACATATAAAATGTGCTGTTCATTATATAACTGCAATCTTCCCCAACCGAGGGAAAGAAATCAATGAAGCGGAAGCCAAGTCAACTTGTTTCTTTTGGTGACCACCCTTAGACCTTTTATCCGTTGTATGTCTCCTTTGGGAAAACAGATGGGTTCTGAGTTAGGAAGATTTTTCAAGTACTTCAGGCATCTCAGTTTTTTCAATTTCTTACTCCGTTAAGTTGTCTACATTTGCACCAAGCTACTATTAAAATCAGTAACCATCAAACTTTGTGGAGGTGGAAAAAACTAAATATTTAAGTAGCTGACAATATGTTGCTTTTGACAATTTAACCAAGATGAATTAATAACAGTTCTTCACTTCCAGTAAAACAGTTACAACGCCATGAAATAATATTGAACCCTGAATTCAGTCTTTTAGGGAGGAAAATTAGCTATGTTCGCAGGAATGTGTCAGTGATATTTAGACAATGAGATTTCAGTCACCGCAAATGCAGAGAATGCAATGAAATACTTAAGTGAGTTTAAGGTTATATGAGCAGTTCTGAAAGCAGTAAAAATGTTAGATGTGATCACAGGCTTCATCAGTGGCAGCCCCAATAATTTCTTACACAATCTGAATAGATGAAACACCTTAACCACTAAAACAAGAGGTATATAGTCCAGACTTAATGTTGTGCTTGAATATCAGCAAATGCTTTAGCGCTGCCCATCATAAATGGAAACCGTTAAGCAATACTATTCAGCATAAATGAAAATTTCATTCGAGTTCCTTATCTCTAGTTTGGTATGAGATTTTTCTTTTCATATTTCATTAATTCATGCAAAATAACAGTAAACACTACACGTATTGTGGTCTATTCCCTTGAAGAGCTTAAAAAAAGGACAAGGACTTCAAACTCTTGTGGAAAAAAAAAATATATATATCTGACATTGAACACAGACCACCACAGTAAGCAGAGGATCCGTTTTGGAATGATGCCTTCTCCAGGCTCAGCTAAGAGCTGGGAGGAATTTAGGACAGCGCCTCCAACCTGACATAACATGTGGATTCTACATCTTTGGTTCCAGATTCCAATTCTCTGCATTTTCCTTTTTCAGCTAAAAAATGTAATGATCATTTAAAAGCCACTTCAGCTGCTCCATTTACAGCTTCTCCACTACAACATTAAGGTTAAAAACCTTAAGAAAACCATTACGTCATGTCTGTGGATGATTTGTCAAGCTAACCCAACTAACTTAGTTTCATTTTCAGCGGCCAAAAAAAGAAAAAAAAGAAAAAGAAAATGAAAATCTTAAAACAATTAGCTACAACCAGGAATATGATACAGTATCAGTAGTGGAAGAAATTGTTGAAAAATGTACTATGAAGACGGACAAGGCTGTTGTATAGACTCAGACCTACCCTGAGTGAAGAGACAGAGCATGTGGAGTGACAACAGTGAACGCTACACTGAAGGCAAAGTCATCACTTCCAGTGGGCACTGAGGCAGGGCACACGAAGCAACCGAAATGTTTTACATGAATCACTATACAGTCCTCAAATTATATGAAAAAAAAGTGCTAGCAAACAAATCTGAGATCTCATTTGTAAAGACTGACAAAAGACACGACATACAGTCTGTCACTTGGCCACATGAAGCAGCGCTAGTGGTTTAAGCCACAATTTCCAACTGGGAGGTGGGACGAAATGTCCCGCTCAGATGTGAAACACGTTTTATGTGGATGTTGACATTCGCAACAAGAAAGGTAAGCTCCCTATGGCAGCAAAAAAAAAAAAAAAGTATCTAGGCCACTGAAGTAAGCAAAATGTGTCATTTTAACAAAAAAGCAATGACCACAGAAATTCATTTTCAAAATAAAATAACAAAAAAATAAATAAATTACATGAAGCAGAACCAAAAAAACCTATTGACTGTTGATGCTACAGTGCAATTCCTCTTTTGGAGACAAGCACCTCCACTATGACACAGGCACTTGGGAGTTCTACTAGGAAAGATGCTGCCCTGCTCCTCTCCTCCAAAACCAAGCATAGCCAAAAGAAAACGTTCGGCCTGATACTCATCAATGCTTGTTTCATCTGAAATAGTTCTTCATAAATTGTTAAAATAATTCAGTTTGATACAAAATCAAATCACAGCTTGTATAGCGAATATTTTGCGCATATTTACATAATTCAAAGAGGTGGTGTGGCAGCATCTGCCATTCTTGTATGCTGAAGTCCAATGGGTATTTGTCATTAGTGTCATGACATCAGTGATGTTAACCATGTTAAGGGAAGCTTAATGTCTCACTGATAAAACACAGAAAGAAACGAAAAAGCTTGATTTGCTTTCTTTGTTATAAATACATCAGCATAAATGTACACACTATATACTTTTTGCAAGTACTTCTTGTTTTCAATTAATATATTTAGGATTTTAGCAGTAGTTGTAGCTGATTGCAACACTTGAAGTGACTGCTCATTGAATGCAGCAGTGCGTTTCTGCTCTTGTCAGGAGGAGGGGAATGGCTGCTGTTTAAGGTTCCCCAAGCTAAGCAAGGCCCCACACTTCAGAGGTTTGACTGCCTCCTTAAGGAGAGAGCACCCATTACCTGACCTGCCATATGCCACACCAAAAATTAATCACCACAAATAAACAAACAAACGAACATAGAAATGGGGTCTGGAAATGAAAACAAAGAAAAGCAGTTGCATCTTTTCAAATATCTACCTCTCTTTCCCCCACAACACCAGAGCCTATATATCTGATAGAATCCCAACACTTTCGGTAAACCACGGTCTGTTTGCTGAGTGACACACAAGGTGGGGGGAATTTTGGTCATGAATAGCTTTTTTTTTTTTTTTGTCCTTTATGTCATTACATGTTGATTTCCAGAGTGGACAATGCTGCTGGCGCTCTCATGCCTCGTTCTCTGTCGCAGGGGTGTTGTTGGCCGTTACCATTGAGTCAGGTTTACGAGTCATTCGGTCCAGTTCCACCTGTACGTCAGTCAAACCCGGCTTCTGCCCTTGGAAGAAAGAAGAGAAAGAAAAAACAGAGTAATCTCCTGTAGTTTCTGTGTAATATATATATATAAAAAGAACACAGGTTGTTTATGGTTATGTGGGAACCAGCTCAGTGGATGTGGATGAGTGCTGCATGCTGGTATGCATTCAAAAGCAGCATGCTGTGTGGGCAGCAAACTTAATGAGAGACATGAAAAGGCAAATAAAAAAAAAAAAATAAAAAAAACTGCATGCGGTTCATTATCCGAGCATAATGTCATTTAAATGACAGGGCCATAACAGCAGGTAAAGAACACATAATTGTGTTAATATATTAGCAATTCATGTAAACAACTGAAACTAAATATCAAAGAATGAAAAGTGCAGTTGGTATGAACTCGACATCATCTTAGGTATGAAAACCAGTAAGTATGAGATATCACCATCCATGGTGGCGTCACTCACACAGGCTTTTCAGCCCATTTCTCCTGGTTATTCTCTCTGGCTCTAAGGGTAAAACTCCAAAGAACAGCATTGTCCAGAGGAAACAAAAGAACATTATGACAGAAGGTGATCAGGTGAATCTCATGAATGATTGTACAGATCATAGTTCAACCAAAAATCACGTGGGAGTTGGGGGGGGTGCATGCTCAGATTGTCCTGTTGTTAATGTATACCAAGTTTTGTGAAATTAAAAAACTGTATTCAAAAGATATAGGCCAATTAGTCACTACTACAGACCAACGCCACAAATATACTGGACTATCTTTCCAAAATTATTAAAAAATATATATATTTTTTTTTTTCATAACTTTTTGTCAGGAGTATCTTGAGCTGGTGCACAGCCATTTCATGCAAATCAAACATGATTTAAGAAACAAGGCCAATTTTAGGACAATTAGGATTGTTTGCATTTTTACATTATTTTCAAAAACTATAATTGCTAAAAATAAATAAATAATAATAATGATGAAAAATAAATATAAAAATCTTACCCACAAATTAATAAGAAACGAAAAAAAAAGTCCTCAAATTATCGAAAATAATTAAACTGTAAACAATACAATAAAAAACAAATAACAAAAAAACAAAGGACAATATTGTATTAAATAAAGACTTTCTTTATGCAAAATATAAGCCTTTTTTCCTTCCCCCTTATGATTTTAGGGTGAAATATGACCTACACATGACAGTTTTTTTTTTTTTTTTTTTTTTGTGCTTGCACCAAAACACAGAGCGGATCTGCTTTCTGCATTGAGACGAGCCGTAGTTACAGTTTTTTTTTTTTTTTTTTTTTTTGTGAGATACACCTGTTCCTGGGGTTGAGGCTGGAAAAGGAAGAATTTACCTGATTTATTGGCAGAGCCTTGTACGCCTGCTCCTGTTGCCGCCCCTGGTGTCCCAGGACTGCCCGGCACACCCGTCTTTTTACTCAGCAGACTGTTGAAGAAGTTGGCCAGCACTCCTTCATTCGCTGCTGCTCCTATAAACACACAAACGAAATATAATGACCTCAGCTGGCAATGTCCAAACGATATTCATTTGCACTGTGAGGTGTTCAAAAGCAAACACACATCCAGATTTATAACTACCACAATTATGATATTGAAAGGGCTTAGTATGTTTCCTGGGCTTCATTGACATCTACTAAAATGAGGGCTGCTCAATTATGGCAAAAATCATAATCACGATTATTTTGGTCAATACTGTAATCACGATTATTTAACACGATTATGAGTAGGCCACATGACCAAAACTTTATATGAGTGATTTATTCAGATACCAATATATATCAAATATGTATTTTCTGTAAATATGTTTGCTATGACATCTACATTTTAGAGACCAGTGAAATTTCACATTTCTCAATACCACAGCAGAATACTAGGGTAACTTGTATTAATAATAACTGAATTAATATGAATAAATAATTAATGTTCCTGTGGCTCAGTGGTAGAGCATTGCGTTAGCAGCGCAAAAGGTCGTGGGTTCGATTCCCAGGGAACACACATACTGGTAAAAAAATGTATCGCCTGAATGCACTGTAAGTCGCAAGCGTCTGCTAAATGCATAAATTATTATTATTAAATTATTATTAATTTAATTCATTAATTATTAAATTAATAAGAAACGAAAAAAAGTCCTCAAATTATCGAAAATAATTAAACTGTAAACAATACAATAAAAAACAAATAACAAAAAAAACAAAGGACAAATACAATAGAAAAAAAAGATATAAATGAAAAAAACTTAGTGCTTTTAAGTTTTTTATGCAAGTCTAAAGTATTCAGCTAACAGCCTACTACAGAAATTAAATAATCTAATGTAAAATAAAACAGCATAGTCTTCACTGTAAGAATTAAACTTACTTTGTTTCTTGTTAAAGCTAAAAAAGTTAACTAATCAACTTTAATAAATCAAGCACGTCCCATTTTGCAAAAGTCACGTTATATGATTTTACTGATTTGCATGTGAAATTGGGCTTTTATTAAAGTTGATTTACTTAAAATGACTGAATCTATTCCTACTGGTATGAAACATGCTGTCCAGCTGAGCTTATTGATCGGAAAATGTTATTTCATATTCCTACATTCTCCTCAGGACGGCAGAGTTTTAAAGAGGTTAGACTGTGAGGCAGAGGGATGAACCAGCAAAATAAGATTAGTGTGAGAGAGAATAAAAGAACACAGAGAGAAAGAGTGAGAGAACAAAGTGCTCATATTTAGACTCTCTCGAAAACACTATGTTTTCGCTTGACTGCTTGCCGGCCTGATGAATAGAGAGCCATGAGATCACAAAGCTTCATTTAGGTTTTGTGGTGCGTGTAATCTTGCCAGGTAAGATTTCTTACCTTTCATGTTAGGGTCTGGTTTCTTCACTGCAGTCATGGGTGAGACACTAGCCACATTGGTGGGCCCTGTCCGGCCTGTCGGCCGGGGTAAGCCAGATGCAGTCCGGGCAGGAGACTCCTATGCGCACACACGGAAAAAAGAAAAAAGAAAAAACAGGTGTTAGGAGATTTCAAAAACAATTCAGCGGATTTATATTTCCCACTACATGAAATTACCATTAAAAAGGAAACTTAAGAGCAATTAAACAAAAAAAAAGCAAAAGGATTCAGTGGCTTTTGTAAAATTGTAAAGCATTAGTGTCGCAACATTATCACAGGATCCTCAAAGCAGCATAATAGGCAAGGCAAGGCACGTTTATTTATATAGCACATTTCATACACAAGGGGCTGTTTCATTGAGGACCGTTGCACTGCAGCGGTCTTCTAGCCATGTTTCGTTTAGAAACATAAAATCCAGGTTGTTTGTGGTTATTAAGTCATTGATTAGAAATGATTTATTTTTTAGTGAGCGAATGTTTAAAAATGCTAACTTGATGGCATTGCATTTTGTCTCAACAGCAATATTAGTTTGATGCATAACAGGCCGCAGATTAGATAAGTCAGCCGTACGGCTTAAGAAGGCCTTAGACTTTCTATCACGTGATAAAACAGAAATAGAGAAAACTACAGGCACACTGGGTTCCTGCTTGTTCTGTAAACATTTGTGAATGTTGCTGCTATTATAGCGGGGACCCAACACATATCACTGAGAGTAATAGAATCACACTTAAAAGTGTGAGAGGTGTGTGTGGTGTCTGAAGTCACACTTACTGTTCCTCTTGTTGGTGTGGTCGGCTGCTTGGCTAACAATGACTGTAATAAAGTGACAGAAGACATGAGAGCTGAAATATTGCTGTGTAAAACATGTAACCATGTACACTACTGTTCAAAAGTTTGGGGCCAGTCATTTTTTGTAAAGACATTTTTAAAGGTCCATTAAATGCCTTGAAAGGCGCAGCGTTATTCTATGTGGTGATGTAATATCAACTGAAACAGGAAGACAGGGCGAGACATAGAGCAGCCCCGCCCACTTTTTTTAAAAGTAGCCAATAGCCAATGTTTTTTTTATATCGGCTCGGGCCAGAGCCATTGAGCTCGGAAAAGCCACATTTGATAGCTTATGACAGCCTAAAGGATTAACCCTTTAGATTCAATATGAAAATGTTACTAAAGCAAAACAGTTATCATAATCATGCTGAGGATGTGTAGCTTGAAAAAAGTGTGTCATATATTGGTGAATGGCATCGGTGTTATCTTCTACTCATCAGTTCTAATACCGAATCTGTCGAACAGTTTCTCCTCCTAATCTCATCCATATCGCTATAAAATATGGCATTCTGTGTAGAATTCGAATGGGTCTGATACATTTTGTGGTCTGAGCCGATTCTGTGGTATCGTGTCCCTATGTAACAACCAATGATGCATTAAATTTAATAAAAGTGAAACTAAATTACATTTATGTGTTACAAAACACTTCAGTTTCAAATAAATGCTGTTCATTTGAACTTTCTATACAAAAAAAAAATCAGTTTCCAAGCTGCAGAAAATTCAGCTTTGCCAACACGGGGAAAATAATAAAAAATATTAAATAATAAAATATATTAAAATAGAAAAGTTATTTTAAATTGTAATGATATTTCATAATATTGCTGTTTTTTACTATTTTTACAATTGCTGGTTTTTTTTTTTGTTTTTCTTTTTTCAATTTTTAATTTAGCTGATACACAACACATTGTTTGTATGCGGTCACACTCTTTTCATTTCAAAGACAAAAAATCAAAAGGAGCTGCTTAACAGCAGTGACAGTGTTCATACAGCCTACTATTGTGTTAAAGACCATTCTCAATAAAACCCCCTTGCATAAACACCATTCACAATTGATTTAACCACATGGAGCCGTTCAAGATATATGACAAGACCCACAGTGAAATTCAAGAGAATGTGCCAGCATATAAGAAGCTGGCTTGCAATGTCCATTAAAACAAAATTATTGTTTTAAACGACCAAATATTGTGTATGTAAAGAGTATACTGCATATCTGACCCTGGGTCAGTCAATGAAAACAATAAGGCGGCTTCACCAGCTCCTGATTGGTCAGACAACTCTGGAACCACGAGGGAGAATAAACAAGTCAAAAGGGTTTCACTGCATCTAATCAAACTAATGAAGGACAGCGGGAGAGCTTTGTGAGGGATGCATGTCGACGTCAGAGAAGAGATCACTTGATTTCGGCTGCCTTTCAAATGTGTAACCTCAGCACTGAATGAAGAAACCTGATCCTAAATCTGCAGTCTGTTTTCTTGTAGTCCAAACATACCTGCTGCTTCATGAGGAAGACCTGCTCATCCTCTGCACTGATTTCTTTGTCATGCACCAACTTTAGAAACAAGAAAAGGGCAAATGTTATATAAGCAGTAGCAGATTAAGGTAACATTTTCATTCCTAGGTTTTTTTCTCACCTTTCGTACAGGAGGTTTTGTTATAAAGTCCTCAAAGGGATCCTCAGGTCGAACCGTTGTGAAGTTTTCATGCAGGATGGCAATTTTCTTGTCATTGTCCCATCCGGATGGACTACGCCGAGATAAAATGTTTTAACAGAAACCAGTTTGACACCAAACTGAATTAGACATGGATATTCTCACATAAAAAGATGAGAAATGCAATGTTTTTAGGGGATTTCGGAGATCTCACATGAACACAGCATCCTTCTCCACTACTAAGGCAGGCGTAGTAAACTGGAAGTCATATATTTTGTGCACCATGTATTTGTAGAGAAGGCCCATGTTCTTTTCCTCTTTGACCGACGAGTAAATCAAGCCAGCTCCATCTGTGAGATGTGATTAAGGATGTGTATACTGTAAAAAATGTTTGCAATTTTTATAGAAAAAATATATATATGGTGAAAAACTAAATGTTTGAAAAATCACAATGTCATTTCAATGTAAAAAAAATTGTTTATGATGAAAAACTGTAAAAGAATGTTCCCAGAAGTCCCTGCTTGACACATCACGTGACTATATTCCATGTAAATAATTTGGTTTCTTCTCATTTTTCATATATGTAATGTGCATTACGGTGTTTTGTGTTACATTTTCTGTTCTTTTAGCATCATGAAGGTTACCATGACAGTGTTTTGTTTTTGTCTGTATGTCTCGGTGCATTGTTTATTCTCAGGTTTCGGCTGTGTTTTATGGACAGGCCACTTACAATGGACTCATCGTGATTCATCATGTGACTTTCTGTTTTTCCACCTGTATTATTATTTTAAAGGAAAAAGGCAAATTTAAAGGTACCTTTTAAACATAAAAAGCAGATCTTGGCAATTCAAGTAGGCTGGTATATTGATATTATTTCCCTTACTGAAATATACAGTTATTTGTTGCAAAATATACAGGGCAACGATATACAATTCCAAAATACCTAAAATATTATGGTGAGGTTTTGGCAACCACAGCTGCCATTTTTAACCGTAAATTTGACAAAATATTTCTTTACAGTGTACTGCATGGGTAAAAAATAAAAATATTACAACAGCACAAATGCTAAGACTGAGTAGGATACACTGTAGACAGAACCGCCGGATGTGTGACTGAATGAAGTCAAAATGCTCCTCCTTGTAGTCGTGCCCCTTCTCCAGTACACTGACAGCATCACACTAAAAGACAGAGACAGAGATAATCAGTCAAGGGAAAACACTGTCTTACATGCAGTATATTTGATATTATATTAGAATTGAACAACACGAGGGTCAGTAAATAACAGAATTTCTATTGTGAACCATCCATTTATCATCATTGATCTCCTGATTTTAAATGACAGACACACCATCCTAAAAATCACAGACAAGCACACACATGAATAATAGAACTGATGCAGCAGCCATGTTTGTGAATGAGTAGGGTTGTGGCTGAATGCCATCCATAATCATTTTGGCAGGAAGAAGAGGAGCAAACTAGGCTGCATAAAAATCCAAGAGGCTGCCATGACAAAAATATCTCGGACAGATCAGTCTTGGCCACTGCAAATGCAAACTCATCGTTGCATGTCACAGATACTGCTGAACTTTCAACTTCATACTAAAAACATCCTGTCTTTAACACTTAAAACAAATGTGATAAAGCAATGGTAATTATTAATGGAGTAAACTAAAGATAATCTTGATATATGAAAGAAGATACCGTTAGACCGAAATTTTTTCAGACACCTTCAACATTTCTCACATTATCACAGCTTATTCGCTATAGATTACAAAATGGTAATAAAATATGACAAGAACTCCTTAAAGGTCCCATGGCATGAAAATTTCACTTTATGAGGTTTTTTAACATTAATATGAGTTCCCCTAGCCTGCCTATGGTCCCCCAGTGGCTAGAAATGGCGATAGGTGTAAACCGAGCCCTGGGTATCCTGCTTTGCCTTTGAGAAAATGAAAGCTCAGATGGCCCAATCTGGAATCTTCCCTTTATGTCGTCATACGGGGAAAGGTTACCTCCCCTTTCTCTGCTTTGCCCGCCCAGAGAATTTGGCCCGCCCATGAGAAAATGAGCTACTACCGTGCGAGGCGAGCGCAATATTTTTTTTTCCTCGAGAGACATCATGGCTTGCAAACGAGCGAAGCATGGCAGTTGCCCCGCCTCTCTCCTCCTCATTAGCATTTAAAGCTACAGACACAGAAATGGCACGTCCTAAGGAAAGCTCATTGTGGGACTGGCTCGTAGTGGCTGAAATTCTGCACCAAGGCTGAATTTCGGGAAAGAGACTTCAGATACAGTACTAGGGACCACTTAGGCCTATATAAAAGCATCCAAAAAGCAGCATGTCATGGGACCTGTAAGCAAAACATGGTCGGGTCAAAGTGTCTGAATAATTTTTGGTCCCAAATTTTTTATCAATTTTACTGGTAGTCAAAATGAACTATAGTGTCCTGCACCCACTAGTAAAAAAAAATTATATCTGGTGTCTGAATAATATTTGGTTTGACTGTATTTTGAAAATTGTCTTTTTTTTTTTGACCATACAAAGAAAGTTAATGAGGTCCAATGTTGTTTGAACCTCAACATTCTGCAGAAGTAAGAAATTCATACAGGTTTGGAATGTCATTTTTGGGTGAACTATCCCTTTAAAGGTATTGCAGTACGCCAGTGAATTGCTGCTGTTAGAAGATCAGTAATGATGATACTAAAGCATATTGATAAGAGCAAATGTTGTGCTTTCAAGTAAACTGGAAATTGGAACTGCTTTCTGAAATTCAATCAGGCTCTATTCTCTTCTATCCTAGGGTGAGGCTGTTTGATCACTTTGCCTCTTGACATTGAACAGAACAAAGAGTGAACATTTTACTCTCAGACCTAAACTACCTTATTTAAAAACGGGTTGTCTTTCACACACCCGGGGCTGGAGGAAGGCTAACAATAGAAGAGATCATTGAGCGTGTTCTGATCCGAAAGAGCATGTGAGGGGGGTATGGTGAGTTTGCAGCTCTGAACCTGCAGGCTACTGAGACTCCATAAAGAGAGCTTTTCATCTGGTTAAAGACACTCAATGATGCATCAGAAACAACACACCCAATCCCCAAACACTGAGCAAAACAACTCAAAATATCCACTCAAATTTCATAAATTGTACATCTACTCACTTCTATTTATGCACAGGGCATACACTACCATTCAAAGGTTTGAGGTCAGTAAGTTTTATATATACAGAATATACCGCACAGAAATGTAACACTGGGTCATTTTTCTCAATAAAAAATTGGGTTCTCTTTGTCTACTTTCAGGACTTGTGCGAAAATCTGATGATGAATTGGGTCACATTTATGCAGAAATATAGACAATTCTAAAGGACTCACAAACTTTCAAGAATACACAAAATAATGATCTTTAAAAAAGCATCATATGACACCTTTAACTGTTTTTTAATTTATTTAAATGACACAGCCATACATCTGTTAGTGGACCAGTAAAAGTTACAACTCTACCGTGTAGACTGCATTCAAGCTAATGTTAGCTTACTAGCAATAATAGAAATGTATTTAAGAGGTATGAGTACTTCAAAAATCAAATGACTGAAAGCAATATAGATAAATATGGAAACTCAACCATGCTTGACATGCAAGAACCAATGAGGTTTGTTCTCATGCATCAAGGAAACATGTTTGAAATACCATATATCTCTCTAAGTTTTAAATAGGCTTAACCAACAAAAATCCATACAAATAAAGAGAGAACATCCACAGAATTAGGGCATTCCAGTCAGGTTAAATAAGACCCAAACAGACGATTTGTACCAAAAAATATGATGAAGGGGGGAAAAAAATCTTATTACAAAACTAATAAATAAATCTTAGCATAAGCAAGGATTTGTAGCATTAACCTGACAGTTTATTATCTGTAGTGCAACTTAAACCGCCTGAAATCATGACTTGTTATGGACACATCTGAGCAGCCGAGGCCTGTGGAAGAGCAGCTCAGATGTGAACAGAGCTGACAGCACATTCTTAAGACCCTGTCTGATCCCTGCACAAGCCCTCATCCTCACACAGCACTAGAGAACATGCGAACAGCAACCAAAAACAATGTTATTCACTGCCGGGCTGATACACAGGAGTATATGGAGAGGGCATGATGGTGATGTGTAGAAGTGGGTGGCTGGAATGGTGGTATATTCAGGAGATGCTGAGGGAGGTAAAGGGGGAGGAACTTCCTCAGGAACCTTAAGAATGCAGCTCCAGATGACCCAGAAACCAGGCAAGCTGCACAACTTCCTTCAACGTACTGTTAAAAAAAACAACAGCTACTGGAATAACAGACCACAACTGTCTTAAAAGCAAGTTTAAAATAAATTAATGTTAAAAAGCTTGGGGTGAGTAATGTTCTTTTTGTTTGTTTTTAAAGAAATTAATACTCTTATTCAGGAAGGACACATTAAATTGATACAGAAGACTGGACACTGGAGTAATGACTGCTTTTCAAAAATTCAGCTTTGCTATCACAGGAGTAAATTACATTTTTAAAAATGTATTAATATAGAAAGCAGTTTATTTAATTTGTAAAAATCTTACTTTTTACTGTATTTTTGATGCAGTCTTGGTTAGAAAAAAAAAGACTTCTTTACAAAAACATTTGTAAAAATATTTCAGAAAGTCATAACTCATGAAACCCTCCATTAGCTGGTTATATCACACTCAATTACCCACACCCCGTGATGTAGAGTGCATGCATGTTTCCACAGGAGCCGGAGATCAAGATAATCTGGTGCATTTCCAACAAACCAATAAACAACTGTTACAAATGCTTTTTGACAAAGAGCCCATTAGGAAATTTTAATTAGCTCCAGAAGGCAAACCGATGTTTACCATCTAGTGATTCTTTTTAAATGATAATAGCCAATAGGCTATTATATCACATGGCACAGTCTGCACATTTTTGAATAATACCCTAGATTCTACTGCCTCATGTTATCTCTCAGTTCTCAACAAACTTAGGCTGAAAAACATTTTTTAAACAACTTGATCAGCCTGTTTTCACAAGACAGCTGAAAGTGTGGTATGGATTTTAATCTATAACCACTAACTTTCTTAATCAATGTGACCTAACCTCAATCAAATGAAGAACCAGTTTACAATCACTCCTGTCGACGTTGACCAGCTTCTACAAACAAGGGTGGGGACAGTAAACATAATACACACGTCCAGTGTGCATTTTCAGCTATGAAGCCGTCGGGAGTGTCAAATGTGTCTAAACATCATGATGCCAAAAAACAAAATAGTAAACACTAATTAAATAGCGCTGTTTTTGTAAAAAAAAAACAAAAAAAAAAGGGGCCACATTTAGCCTTTGAACAACACAAAAAAGGACTTCCAAAGTACATCCAGTCATCTCTACACTTAAAATAAACATTCAGATAATGTGTTAGCTGACTAAGAGCTGTGAGACGTTATGTTTTAGCACAGTGGTTTGAGATGTGCTCGGGTGTTGTGCTCATGCCCTGCTTAGAGCAACGAGTCAAATGTGAGGAACATCTAACTGAGCGGACCATGATGCAACATCTTGTAAGAGGGGCTGGACTGTCCTTCCCACTACAGTGCTGACATCACTGAGCCCGGTCAGATGTAAGGAGTGAGAGGAGGCTGCCTGCTTGTGCTTCCCATGTTGATCGGAGCAGTGCTTAAGGAAGCAATGGCTCTTTTTCTGGGCGGGTCAGTTTTACAAAGCTATGGGCGGCTTGAGGCTTAGTGTGTTTGGATATCATTTCCATACATCCAACATTTGGCATTAGATGTGAACTTATGTGTGAAGATGTGAAATTTTTTTAAAGAAGTCGCTTATGCTCACCAAGGCTGCATGTATTTGATCAAAATACAGTAAAAACAGTAATATTGTGAAGTATTACTACAACGCAAAACAACTTTTGTATTAAAAACATTTTAAGATGTAATTTATTTCTCTAATGTAAACATAAATCTTTTGTAATATTATAAATGAAAAAAATAGAAGGATGAACGCCATACAATTAGATGGTCAGACTGGGAGGTACAGAGTGAGTAATTCAGATAGCCGTTCAGATGTGTTGTAAAACCACTGGTCTCAATATTTCATACACAAGCTGAAAAACAATACCATCTCCAAGCCACTTCGCTATTCTGCGCTCACAGCACTGTTTATAGGGCACAAGCAGAAACAGTCATCCTCAGAAATAGCCTTTCACTTCATGTCTGAGCACTCTACATCTCTCATCACATTACAAAAACATTCTCAAACGCTATTGGAGCAGCTTTATGTCTTCACATAGTAAAACACCTGAAGTCATCAAGTACTTTGTCACAGCATCAACAAATCATTAGGTTTTATTATAGCTGAGTTTTAAACTAAAATCCAACATATTCACTTTTTTTTTTAATTCAACAAGGATACTTTACATTGACCAAAAGTAACAGTGAAGACATTTATAAGTTCTTTTTTTTTTTGTTTGTTTTTTTAAAGTAGGCCTACTTTTTGTTCAAAGAATCCTGAAAAACAGTATCACGGTTTACACAAAAATATTAAGCAGCAAAACTGTTTTCAACATTGATAAATAAGAAATGTTTGCGTTTTGCCATCACAGGAATAACTGACATTTTAAGACATATTGAAATATAAAAGAGTTTTTATTGCAATAATATTTCAGTTTTTCCTGTATTTTTGATCAAACAAATGCAGCTTTGATAAGCATGATAGACTGATTTCAAAAGCATCAAAAAAAAAAATTACCAACACCAACCTTTTGAACCAAACTACTATGGTTTTTGAAAACATGATTCTCAGCAGTTTTTATTATTATTTTAATCATATCTAACACTAGTGAAGCAGCATTTACATTCGCTCTTATTCTAACAGCAAGTGTTGAACAACATGCGTTATGCAAATTCAAAGCACAAAGAGTGCTTCATATCCAGACAGTCAATAAACTATCCTCCAGTGCAGGCGGCCCTGCTAACTCCCATAATAAAAGTGGATTAGGACTCATGGACTCAATAACAAAACAAAGCAATTTTAATAAAAGCATAAGAATCCCTAGATCTAGGCTAATTCACATGACTTTCTAACTAGCATCACTTATACTGAATTCACAACAGAGAGAGAGAAAAAAAAAACTTTGTCCTAATGATTAAGCACTGAAACATTACCATTCTCCACTGTATCAAAAAAACTGCTGTGTTACAAGGAATCAGTATCAATGTCATTTACTCTACTCTGTCTGCAGCTAATTCTTCTCCTGAAGTCAATATGTAAATGCAGCAGTCTGCTACTGAATCTCAACATTTACATATGATCAAAACCCACCAGAGAAGGAACAATTCTACTACAGAAAGCATACTTGATATGGTAAGCCGTTTCAACATCCATGCCTGACGTGGGTTCCCACCTTCCCTTCTGCCTGATGTGGGTTGATATGGTACTTCACAATATAGTTCCTCTAGTTGAACAAACATGCTTCAGCTATTTAAAGCATGCTTATTTTTACCACTAGAGTCAAATAAAATGTTTAGCAGAAAGACAGCTGGAGGTAGACTTTGTGTACAAGCAATCACCCATAAGCACACTTGAATTGTAGGTCCCCTACATGCTAACACCAAGATATTCGTACTACTACATCTTAAAGCAAAACAGGACTTACTCCTCTGCTCCATCTCTTTCATTTCCTCAGGTGGGATCTTCAGTTTGTCCACATGTTCACGCAGCACACTCGTCCACTTCTGCAACGACTCCATGATGGTCCAAGGCCGTGACATGTCCACCACGAACACCGCTAGACTGTCCTTCAGGGACTCAGCAGTCACTGCAAACTTCAGCAAGCCTTTGTGGTACAGGTCTCCATCCAGGATCCACACGCCACAGCGAGTCAAATCTGGAAGATTTGTAAATTATAAATAAAAAATAAAAAGCCGTAATAAACTGCATTTTCCACAGACCAAAAGTGAATAATAAAAAGCTTTTTTTTTTTTTTTTTTTTTTACAAAGCATTATAGGAATGAATTTCATATCAATTGTGAATAAACGACTAAAAAACAGACTATTAAATAGTTAATCACCGCTATGACAACTAACAAGTTTTATTATGACAGACCTAGTTCGGTAAAACTTTGCATCTTTTATCACCTATTTCAACCCAGTTTAAAATGCACTTACCATCTCGGTCTTCATCCTGGACATTCAGGTACAAGTATTCCAGCCCTCTACCTTTCTTACTGTGCTCGGCTCCTTGAAGTTTTGTCATAAGTGTTGTCTTTCCTGAACCATCCTCCCCTAAAACATCACCAGAAATCATATCACTTTTAAATCATGACATAAAAGTAATACAATTTGTAAATCGCCTAAGTAATAAGAGTGCTTAGACAAAGAGAATGATTTCAGTTTATGACTGGGATAAAGTTAAAAGGATAGTTTACCCAAAAATGAAAATTCTGTGATCTTTTGCTCACCCTCATGTCATCCCAAACCTGTACGACTTTCTTTCTTATGCAGAACACATAAAAAGACATTTTGATATTTTTGTCAATACAATTCAAGTAAAAGTGAACTAAAACCATTTGGTTCTTCACAATGTCTTCATTTGTGTTCCGGAGAAGAAAGAAACTCATACAGGTTTGGAACAACATGAGGCCGATTAAATGACAGAATTTTCATTTCTTGTTAACTATCCTTCAATATCAGCTTCCAACAGTACGTCTGCAAGATGTCTGTTAAAGATCGCTTCATCTGGAAAGCATCTGCTGTGTACAAACATCTGATAGACATCTTTAAGATGTCAGTTTTACATACATTATAAATCATAAACATCAAAGACATTTTCTAAACGCCCTATAGACATATTGCAGATGAGCAAACACGCTAAATAAATACTTCTTGCAGATGTAAATGCAGATGTCAAATAGACATCTCTGTGATGTACATGTGCTTTCAGGGTATACTGTGTTCAGAGGTATTTACTTAAGGTTGTTTCACTTGAATGATATGTGCATGTCGACATTTGTAAGCAAAACTATTAATAAGCTATGAATTTGGATTAAAAATCAAATTCAGCAAAAGCAAAAAAAAAGCAAAAGGCACATACCAAAAAGCAGTATATTTTTCCCAGAAGGCAATTTAGAGCTGGAGCGTGTGGAAACTTCGCTGAGGATTGAAGACCTGAAAAACAAAACAACAAATGAGCACCGATCAATTGCCATTCATGACATCAACAGACATGGGCTTTAATACGGTAGTTAGTAGACTGATGGTTAGTTCTGACGGCAGACAACTGTGAGTATGTTCTATAATACTACCAAAACAAGGAGCAAGGAGCCTCTCACAAGTGCTGGATGTCAGTCAACCGTTAGATCCCACCAGAAACAGACATCAGGAATCAGTTTCCTGACACTTATAATAACTCAAGAGAAATCATTACCCGTACACAGAAAATTAGCGACGCAAAGCTTCTTCAGAAACGACTTGAACACTACAGATCTCATGTAAACCGTTGAGTTTTAACAAAGGTTAGCCAGCAGCACACGACAGAAACCAGTAAGCATGACATGAGCATATAAAGCGAGACAATCTGCTTCCTAACGCCTCCGAAGACTGCCTTTATTATTAAGCCAGCTGTAAAAGTCAAATCTAGCCAGATCCAGACTTTGACATAAGTTTATGTCAAGTGTTTTGGGCTCATCCGGGACCGGCGTCTGGGCAGCACCAGGCTGGTGACAAAGCAACTCATCACACTGTCAAATAAACTAACTCCCTGCAAAATCCGCTGCACTTCTGGACACTCTGAGGGTGCGGGCGTACCAGAGGTTTTGTCCTTCATCATCCTCGTTGCTATTTTCCATTGTGTCGCCTGTCCCGGCTTCGCCCAGTAGCTTCTTCTCTAAAACGGGAGCCATCTTGAGTGGAGAGGCACAAAGGGAGGCGCACACTGAGTGCTTGAGGACCTCACATGAGACGCTTCGCGAATTACCAATCCTACTACGGCGAAGGCATATCTCATGAATATTAAATACATACTGCGCGGGTCTCCCAGTTAACGCAGACGGGAAAATAATGTGTTTTTTGAACCTTAAACCGCATAAACACATTTCATTACACCAAATACACAAAATAATGTTCTTTTTAGCAACATCATATGACCCCTTTAAGTGGGCGCTTAGGTTGGGTCATGAATATTAATTAGGAACATGACAGTTCCAAAGCAGAGACAGCCTGACCAAATTAATATTCATGAACAACGCCTTTACCGTAGTACGAGTCGTAAATTATCACATTCTCTTAGAGAGAAAATTAAAACAGAAAGACAACTTAACATAAATATATAAATTTATGTTATAAAAAAAATGTTTTATTTTTTATTTATTTTTTTTTTTTTATTTATGCATAGGTAAACATTTATATATAGTATATTCATAGTCAAAATCTGTCAGTAGGTTAGCTGTGTATAGGTACAGTGTTTATGTGAAGCATCCGTATAGTCTGTATTGTTTTAACTTATGTATAGGTAAACATTTATATATATATATATATATAGTATATTTATAATCAAAATCAGTCAGTAGGTTAGTTGTGTATAGGTTTTTACTGCTTTACTGTATAGATTTTTACTGTTTTACTTCATTGTTGTATGCCTGTATTTATGTAACACCGTGGCCCTGAGGCACGACATTTCGTTCCACTGTATGTCCCCACATGCAGCAGAATGACAATAAAGCTCAATTTGACTTGACTTGACTTGAAAACCCCGAAAAATAGCGGGAAATGTCACCGAATCATTCATCAGAACACATACGTCTTATTTTGTTTGTTTAAAATGTTATGCAGAACACATTCAATCATAAAATACCTTTTGCCCTGCTGTACGTAATTATGATCAGGCATTTGAAAAGGCAGCACTATCCGCGTTGGCTTGAAAGAGAATGATGTCATTTCAGACTTTGCCGCGCGCTGATGGTCAGTTGTTCGGTTGCGTTGCCATGGTGACTATCTGACTGTAGGGAGAGGAAACTGATCCGCAGCGCTTAGCTTCAGGTCAACCGGGCATTGTAGGAATTGAAAATATTAATCTGTAAATGTACCACGGATTATATAAAGAGTTATGCATGCTGCACTTTTAACTCTTCTGTTATCTTCGAGTACTTTTTGCCAGTCTTCAAAGAATGTGTAATATGACACAGTCAAGGATATCTTAAAAAGACTTATGAAAAGTACGTTAGTATTTAAAAATATTTACAATTCAAAAATACTTTATCCTACCGTAATGTAGCATAATCAAGAACAAGAACTGGGTTTTAATTGTTACTTAGCAAGGTTAATTCAGGTTAAGTTTCTGCTTGCGAGAAAAAGTTCTTTATCGAGAAAGTGCAGCGACGACATCTGCCGGTGGAAAGATCACATGACTACATATACTAAAGTGTCAATCTCGCAATTAGTTTAATTTTATTATTATTGTTGTTTTCAAGCAACTTTGGCATTAAAAAAAAACATTGTATAATGTAAAAGCAGTCAATCCATGTATAAGCATTCAAAAATACTATTAGATGATTGGACATACAAGGAAAGCATCAAATTATCAAACTGATGTCTAGATCTGGTTTAAACAGATATATAAATATACAAGGCAGAAACTAGCAAACTAAAATAACAGTAGGTGAATACAGAAAGAATGAAACGTAAAGACCACAAACTAATGGATGTGTGCTTATAGGTTCTGAGATAATGAAGGAGATTTTGGTCCACCTACTCAAATGAAGTGTGGTGAAGGGATGACAGCTGAGGCGCTACCACTATTACATCTAGAGGCTATTCCCTCAGTCTGCTCCATATGGCTGGGCAAACTCAACCTGTGCTTTACTGGCAGGAGTGGAGAGGTAAGACTGAGGGTCTCCTGAGAGAATTAACATGCCAAAACCCTGACTCATATATAGAGGCCTGTAACTCGACCTTCTTCCTTTTATTCTTTAGCCATGAACACCCTGCTGTCTAAAAACATGTTCTTTTACTGACATGAGGAGCGAAAGACTCATGTCTTCAATTGTAAACATGAACGTTTAATTAATTATGTCTTTATCTTCTCGTTCACTTTAAAACATATTTATTTATGTATTGTTCAGATTGTATATCTAAAGTAAGGGCTTTTTGATGTAAATAAGCCACTGTTATTTTAACATAGTTGGGTTATTATTTAGTTTAGTCTTAGTTAAAGGAATAGTTCACCCAAAAATTAATATTTTCCGAACATTTACCCTCAGGACATCCAAGATGTAGATGAGTTTGTTTCTGCATCCGAACAGAGAAATGTAGCATTACATCACTTGCTCAACAATAAATCCTTTGCAGTGAATGGGTGCCGTCAGAATGAGAGTATCTTCTCGTTCACTTTAAAACATATTTATTTATGTATTGTTCAGATTGTATATCTAAAGTAAGGGCTTTTTGATGTAAGTAAGCCACTGTTATTTTAACATAGTTGGGTTATTATTTAGTTTAGTCTTAGTTAAAGGAATAGTTCACCCAAAAATTAATATTTTCCGAACATTTACCCTCAGGACATCCAAGATGTAGATGAGTTTGTTTCTGCATCCGAACAGAGAAATGTAGCATTACATCACTTGCTCAACAATGGATCTACTGCAGTGAATGGGTGCCGTCAGAATGAGAGTCCAAACAGCTGATAAAAACATCACAATAATCAGCACGACTCCACTCCATCAATTAACATTATGTGAAGCAAAAATCTGCTTGTTTGTTGGAAACTAGTCGTTTTTTAAAGACGTTTTTAACTTAAAACTTGAAAGTTAAAACGCCCTAATGATAGATTTGTTTCTTACAAACATGCATCTTTTCACTTCATAAGAAATTAATTGACGGACTGGAGTCATGTGGATTACTTGTGGATTATTGTGATGTTTTTATCAGCTGTTTGGACTCTCATTCTGACGGCACCCATTCACTGCAAATGATCCACTGGTGAGCAAGTGACGTAATGCTAAAATTTTCCATATCTATTTCAATGAAGAAACAAACTCATCTACATCTTGGATGGCCTGAGGGTGAGTACATTTTCAGAAAATGTTCATTTTTTGCTGAACTATTCCTATAAATAATAACCCGAAGTGAGCTCCTCAACGCTGCAGTTAATCTTATTTTAAACTCAGATCATCAAGATTAAGTTATTTTTCTAATCTAGCTTTCATGAATACTTATTATTTTTAAATGTTATTCTTGTTATTCTGTCTCTCATCAATATTCTCATCCTCTTGTTCACAGGCTTTGTCTAAAATGCAAAGAGCTGATGCACCATCATTCTCCAGACACTAGAGGCTGCTGTCTTCTTTTTTTCTCCCAAAGAAAGCTGCATCCTGAGCAAACGTTTTTGTTGTTGTTTTATTGACATGAGTTTTATGATTAATCACATATGACACGCTTGCTAAACTTTCTATGGGGCATAAAGCTCACAGATCATAAACCTTTCAGCACACACAGTCTGGGAACTCTGTAACCTTGAACTCTCTGCCCAGAATAGCTGGGCATTTTAACAAATTACCGACATACCAGCTGTGTGACCGAAATCTAAACAATACGTGCAATTTTTAGACATGAATGTAAATCATTAAAACAGTCAAGATATAAAACATGTATTTACTTTTTTTTATTTTATTTTTTACATGAGACCACAAGCTCTCAAGTATCTGACAGTAAAACCCTGTGTTAGGTTGTTTGATTTCTAATATTGACATTTAGTACAACAAAAAATGCAAGCTGTGCTATAAAACATGCAGAACTATGGAGAGGAAACTAGTTTCTCACGACCACATTTCATCTCATTCCATGTGTCTAGCAGTGAATGCGCCGCTGGTACATTCCTCCCCTCAGTGTGATTTAATCATGAGCTTGTGTTTGATTTCTAATATTGACATTTAGTACAACAAAAAATGCAAGCTGTGCTATAAAACATGCAGAACTATGGAGAGGAAACTAGTTTCTCACGACCACATTTCATCTCATTCCATGTGTCTAGCAGTGAATGCGGCGCTGGTACATTCCTCCCCTCAGTGTGATTTAATCATGAGCTTGTGATGAAGAAAAAATATATATAAATTAATAAAAAAACACAGAAAATACACATGGCTTGTCTACATAAGGATTGACTTATAATTATCCACACAGCTGGCATGTGACCTGTGCACAACAGCATATCTAATAATCATGAATAATCATGTTTTTTTTTACAGTTATCATATTAAGGGGACCATCATTTAGAAAGGTGAATACTTGTTAAATCTGAAGCTTTTTATAAAAGGTGAAAAAGAAGAGTTAATGTTGTTTAAGTGTATTTTGTATTTTCATATTTACACATTTCTAGATCTCATATGAAACGGGCCTAGTAGAATCTCATTGCACCTCTGCTTGTACTATTAACACCAAGTAGCCAGATTACACAAGGGTGTCATGTGTCCGACCACTTTAAGTGGAATGTAATAATGACCTCATGGCTTTCTTACATCTTCCTTGACCTCTGGCACATATATGCTTCAGAAACATTATTCTGGTGAACTGCAGACACGCAAAGAATCTGATGTCAAGATAAGAACAAATGAATGAATTATCTTTTACTTTTTGTTTAAGCATATTCTTCCTTTACCAGAATATCTGCTTAGGACAGGATCGGTGCGTGGATGTCTTTTAAAACAATACTGAATTCGAAGGCCCTGCTTACAATTCACTTCATTCTCCTCTCCTTCAGCCATGGGGGTGGAGTATTGCTGTAACCCCTGTCTTTACACACACACACACACACACACACATAATGAGAAATGTATGCTAAAACCAATCAGGCAGGTGGAAAAAAGGCAAATCCACCAACTTCCAAGTCAAAGGAATACGGTTGCTATAGAGATCACTTCAAAAAGTGAAAGAAAAGAGGGCATTATTCCCAAAACCCATTATAAAGCCCATCTAATCTAGTAAAATATGCACCCAACGTGAGGGGGAAGGGAAGGGAGGAGGAGAGGGAGGGTATATGGATTGTGGGCAGTGGGCAAGAGGGGCTGTGATAACGACAGATGTCTAACAAACCGTAGGTTTAACAGGAGGGGTGAAAAGAGAAAAAACGCCCAGTCGCAGATTGGACCTCAGTGAGAGAGTAGGACTGCCTGGAACTGATTCACATTCACTATTACAGGAGAAAAGAAAGTACATTCAACGCACTCTTACGCACGGATTTCCAGAGAAGCAGGTTAGTAAAATGTTAGTCGCGATTTTATAGTGACTGTTTGAATAACGGGGGAAAATCACTTATAAAACAACGCGTTTTATTGGGACTGGAGATATAATTGAATGCAGACTGCACGAGCCGTTCTTTGTTCTCGTTATTTTCATATGTCACTCATGAAAACTAAAAAGGTACTACAACAAAAGCATCCCATATCTATATTATTCATTAACTAAACGTGAAAAAATGGTTATTTCCTAGAAATGTCTGAATGACACTTTACAAATGTCACGTTTATAGTCTTTCTAAGTTTAATGTTATAATGGGAAGCTGAGGCTGATCTCCTAAATGCAGCTAGGTTACTAGGAGGTTAAAAATGTGTAAAAGTAAAATATAAAAGCCTTATTTTAATTAATTTATTATCCTTTTTAATGAAACTGTGGGTTACAGGTATAGCTTTTACTCAGTTTAAGCTCGAACCCCTTGTATTTCGATTTCCCTTTACTGGCGTTTCTCTATTGAAAGCATTGTTTTAAGGAAATAGGAAACATTAATTTGCGCTAATAAGAAATTGTTATTCAAATGTTAGGAGAGCTGGTCGATATGAGGAAAGGGGTGGCTGCGGTGGGGAGTGGGTTAGGGGGGTGTTGGTGTTGGGCATGTCTGTCTTAAAATATATAAAAATTAATAAAAAAACACAGAAAATACACATGGCTTGTCTACATAAGGATTGACTTATAATTATCCACACAGCTGGCATGTGACCTGTGCACAACAGCATATCTAATAATCATGAATAATCATGTTTTTTTTTACAGTTATCATATTAAGGGGACCATCATTTAGAAAGGTGAATACTTGTTAAATCTGAAGCTTTTTATAAAAGGTGAAAAAGAAGAGTTAATGTTGTTTAAGTGTATTTTGTATTTTCATATTTACATATTTCTAGATCTCATATGAAACGGGCCTAGTAGAATCTCATTGCACCTCTGCTTGTACTATTAACACCAAGTAGCCAGATTACACAAGGGTGTCATGTGTCCGACCACTTTAAGTGGAATGTAATAATGACCTCATGGCTTTCTTACATCTTCCTTGACCTCTGGCACATATATGCTTCAGAAACATTATTCTGGTGAACTGCAGACACGCAAAGAATCTGATGTCAAGATAAGAACAAATGAATGAATTATCTTTTACTTTTTGTTTAAGCATATTCTTCCTTTACCAGAATATCTGCTTAGGACAGGATCGGTGCGTGGATGTCTTTTAAAACAATACTGAATTCGAAGGCCCTGCTTACAATTCACTTCATTCTCCTCTCCTTCAGCCATGGGGGTGGAGTATTGCTGTAACCCCTGTCTTTACACACACACACACACACACACACATAATGAGAAATGTATGCTAAAACCAATCAGGCAGGTGGAAAAAAGGCAAATCCACCAACTTCCAAGTCAAAGGAATACGGTTGCTATAGAGATCACTTCAAAAAGTGAAAGAAAAGAGGGCATTATTCCCAAAACCCATTATAAAGCCCATCTAATCTAGTAAAATATGCACCCAACGTGAGGGGGAAGGGAAGGGAGGAGGAGAGGGAGGGTATATGGATTGTGGGCAGTGGGCAAGAGGGGCTGTGATAACGACAGATGTCTAACAAACCGTAGGTTTAACAGGAGGGGTGAAAAGAGAAAAAACGCCCAGTCGCAGATTGGACCTCAGTGAGAGAGTAGGACTGCCTGGAACTGATTCACATTCACTATTACAGGAGAAAAGAAAGTACATTCAACGCACTCTTACGCACGGATTTCCAGAGAAGCAGGTTAGTAAAATGTTAGTCGCGATTTTATAGTGACTGTTTGAATAACGGGGGAAAATCACTTATAAAACAACGCGTTTTATTGGGACTGGAGATATAATTGAATGCAGACTGCACGAGCCGTTCTTTGTTCTCGTTATTTTCATATGTCACTCATGAAAACTAAAAAGGTACTACATCCCATATATCCCATATCTATATTATTCATTAACTAAACGTGAAAAAATGGTTATTTCCTAGAAATGTACTTTACAAACTTTAAAAATGTCACATTTATAATCTTTCTAAGCTTAATGTTATTACGGGAACGTGTGACTTGTGCCCTATAAGATTGGGAGGTTAAAATGTGAGTAAAAGTAAAAATAAGTCATATATAGAAGCTTTTGTTTTATTATTTTATATTTCAAAATGAAGCAGTGGGTTACAGGTAGCTCTTACTCAGTTAAAGATTTAACCCGTTTTGTATTTCGAGTTCCCTTTACTGGTGCTTTTCTATTGAAAGCATTGTTTTAAGGAAATAGGAAGCATTGATTTGCTCTTATTAAATTCTTATTAAAACGTAAGGAGGTATATATATATATATATATATATTGCTGCCAGACGCCAGACATGAGATAGGCTACTTGGTGTGCTATACTCGCTCAGGGTAGCCCATTTCATCAAGGACATAACTTATATATATATATATATATATATATTGTAACCTGCTGCCAGACATGAGATAGGCTACTTGGTGTGCTATACTCGCTCAGGGTAGCCCATTTCATCAGTCTTCAAGGACATAACTTCATTACATCATTATATTAATGAGTAACTTCATCAAGCAAGATTTGCAGGAATAATGGAGGCTGTGAAGCGTACTGGCACAGAGTGCTGTGAGAGGCTGTAATAAGAGAGGTTGTCTTTAGTGAGCGCTGACATAGCCAGCACATTTTAGCAGTTGGACTCAACTGCAGGTTGGACTGGGGCATGACTGTGTATCCGGTCTTTGTTTGCACCAGTGCAGCACTATGGACAGCTCCTGATGTAACCCCATCATGCTGCAGCTTAAAGGATATTACCCAACTGAGCTGCAATAACTGTAGGCCTTTAAAAGGATGCAAATGGTGTCAAATCTGTGGCAATAAAAAAAAACATTTAATCTACCTCACACGTCCATAATTCCACATATATTTGAAACTAATTCCAATTCCAATTTACAAATTAGGTTCCTTGCCATTTACAAGAATATTTTTGGTAATAGGAAAAATTGTTGTATAATAAAAGCTTCCATTGGAGTTAAAAAAGAATGATTTAAGTAGCATTAGTAGCAAATGTTATCTAATCAGTCTTTCTCATGAATCCTATCTTTACACCTCCCCAAACCAAGCTGCTTTACTAACCAGAACCAGCCATACATTTTTTTTAAAAGAAGTGAATAACTTTTATATGAATTTTTGATTGATTGTAGTGAAGTTGTATACAGATTGATAGAATAAAAAAAAAATGCAGACATAATATTATACTTGACATAACTAGACCTGTTGGTCTTTAAGATAGACTAGGTTTTGTTGGTTTTGTCTAGCTTTCTGAGGATTCATTAGTTAAAAGTGCTGTGTTTCGCTTCCAGATCCTTCCAAACCGCCATTTTATACAATCAGTGCATGCTACCTTTACACTGTAAGACTGGGTTGTTGAATTAAATCTTTACAAGTTTACAAGAAATGTGACATTCCCATCCAGTCACTGTTTGTCCTTAAGCCACGTCCTCCTCCATAACAAAGTTGGATTGCATTCAAAGTCCTTGGCAGAGATTGCATTGGGCTGAAATGATTGAGTGAGCGCCCTTTAAATGGAGAAACAGGGTGGGCCATGTGGTGTATACAGATTGATAGAATAAAAAAAAAATGCAGACATAATATTATACTTGACATAACTAGACCTGTTGGTCTTTAAGATAGACTAGGTTTTGTTGGTTTTGTCTAGCTTTCTGAGGATTCATTAGTTAAAAGTGCTGTGTTTCGCTTCCAGATCCTTCCAAACCGCCATTTTATACAATCAGTGCATGCTACCTTTACACTGTAAGACTGGGTTGTTGAATTAAATTTTTATAAGTTTACAAGAAATGTGACATTCCCATCCAGTCACTGTTTGTCCTTAAGCCACGTCCTCCTCCATAACAACGTTGGACTGCATTCAAAGTCCTTGGCAGAGATTGCATTGGGTTGAAATGATTGAGTGAGCGCCCTTTAAATGGAGAAACAGGGTGGGCCATGTGGGCAGTTTTACATTTTACAATTTCATATCCATAATGAGGTGCTAAGAATATTGGTTATTTTTTTGTTTAGTTTTAGAACAACTTTTTGCATAATAATGTAGCTCAAACAGTATGGCACTAGCAATGGCAAGGTCATGGGTTTGATTCCCAGGGAATTTCTGAACTTATAAAAATGTATAATGAATGAATGCAATGGATACTGCTTTGGATAAAAGCATTTGACAAATTCATAAAAGTAAATATATTGAAATGCAGTGATGTTTGTAGATTATATAAGATGTTCTTCTGTTCCCACAGAAAATCATGGGAGGCAAGCTAAGCAAAAGGAAGAAGGGATACGATGTCAGCGACCCTAAGGAGAAGAAAGAGGAGAGTGCTGTGGCAGCAGTTGAACCAGCTGAGAAAAAGGCAGAGACCCCTGTGACTGAGTCGGAAGCTGTACCTCAGGAGGCTGCTGCAGTAAGTGCAGCACCGCCGGTGGTGGAGTCTGAAGCACCAGCTGAGAAGTCTGCCTCTCCTTCAGCAGCACAAGCAGAGGTGAAGAAGGATGATTCTGCACCAGAAAAACCAGTGGCTACAACAGAGGCATCTACTGCTGCATCCAATGAACCAGAAAGTGCTCCAGAGGAACCAGCAGCTGTACCAGAGTCACAAGCAGTAGAGGTACCAGCATCTGCATCAGAGGCAACAGCAGTAGAGGCAACAGCTGCTACACAAGACGCACCAGCAGCAGAGGTACCAGCAGCTGCATTAGAGACACCAGCAGTGGCACCAGAGGTATCAGCACCCAAGGAACTTGCAGATGCACCAGAAGCATCAGCAGCAGAGGACCCTTCAGCTGCACCTGAGGAACCAGTGACAAAGGAACTTGCAGCTGCATCTGAGGAACCAGTGACAAAGGAACCTGAAGCTGCACCAGCAACAGAGGAATCTGCCGCTGCACCTGAGGAACCAGCTGCTGTACCAACAGCAGAGGAATCTGCAGCTGCACCAGAGGTGGCAGAGAAACCTACGACTGCAACAGAAGAACCAGCCACTGCACCAGAGACACCAGTGACAGAGAAACCAGGATCTGAGCCACCTGCAGCTGCACCTGAGGAACATGCAACTTGCCCAGAGGCTGAAGATTCTGCAGTTGCACTTGAGGATCCTGCACCTGCGCTAGAAGAGCCTGTATTGTCGCCTAAACTTGAACCTTCGCCAGTGGAACCTGTCATAGAGGAAGCAGTAGAGAAAGTGGTTGAGGAGGTTGCAAATGAATTGTCCACCAAAATTACAGAAACCACTGAGGTCACACCAGAACCAGAGACTGTTACTGAGGCAGCAGCTCCAGAGCCAGTTGCCGAATCTGCCCCAGTGTCTGAACCTGTTTCCAAGGAATTGAGTGCAGAGGTCGAGATGGCTGTGCCTTCCCCAGAGGAACCCACACCAGTCACAGAGCCTGAATCTGAAACTGCTGCACCCCCTGAGGTTACACTAACACAAGCAAGTCCTGAGCCATCCCCAGAGGAGCCAACACAACCCGAACCTATGGCAGAACAAAAGAGTGCAGAGGAGTCCATTCCCGCAATTGTCATCGTAGAATCAACCTCAACCAATGAGCTCTGCCTTGAGGAACCTGTCTCGACTATCACAGATCTGAAGCTGAATAATGGAGACTGTGAGAGTGCTGGCTCAGCAGAGGAATCCGTGTCGGCTCCCCCTAAGGTAAACGGGGAATGCCATGAGCAGGCACCAGACGTAGCCCCTGCGGATGTCCTTGAGTCCCCGGTTGAGGCATGTGTAAATGGTGTGAAGGACAAAGAACCCCCTCGAGAGCTAAGTGACTGTGAACTGAAAAAGGACTTGAGTTTGGGTGCTGACTTTCAGGGTCCAGCTCCAATTGGTGACATGGTAGAAGTGCCACAGTGAGCTGAGCTGTCGACCTAATTTGAGAAACAAACCTTAAATGTGAATCCCATATTGATGCAAACAAAAAAATGAAACAATCGTCTGACAACACAGGCATTCTGAAAATAAATGTGAAAAATGCCTGTTGTGTTCTCTCAGGCAAAATAATTTCTGGTTAACCAAAAAGAAATACAACCACCCAAGAGCTAAGAGTGTGAAAAACAAAGAATGAAATAGTGAGGGCAAAAGCCTTAAAGGAAATGGGAGAGAATGATGAGAATGAAGCGAGAGACAGAGAAAAAGAGAGCGCATGGTCTTTGAAGTCTTTGTGGTCGGTGTCCTGCTGTCATTGCAGAGGGTGAGCTTACAGGACTGGTTGAATATGTAAGCCACAGAAATGATGATTAGACAAGAACATAATTAAAAAAAAAAACACTGAGATGGCAGAACAGAAATGCTGGACAGTAACAATGGCAAAAATGAATGAACAATCATCTTTTGTGTGCGAGACTGATCCCTATTGAAATGGTTTATTGGATTAGCATTTAATAGTATCTAATCTAATTTAGACCACATTTCTGTCACCATGTAATACGGAGATTTGAGGATGAAGCATTTTGAACTTTTCATATTGGGAGAATCAGCGGGGAATGTTCATTTTAACTTAATGGCTTGGAAAATAAAATAAAACACTCTGTTATACCTTAAAAACGATTCTTTCTTTTTTGCACTGTTGCACTATTGTGAATGTTGTGCTGAGTGGATGCAAATGTGGAAAGTTTTTTTTTTTTTACTTAAAAACAGTATTTCAAATAAATGTACGATGCAATCTCATGCATAGAGCAGACCCATTTTGTTTCAAAAGCATGTGCACAGCGTGTTGGCTCTGAATTAATATAAGAGTAGTATACTGTAGACAGCTGCAACAGTTACATTCAAGGCCTGTTTTCAGCCTTTTTGTGTGGTAGTAGAGAACTGACCGGCAGGTCACCATTCCAACTATGTCCCAAGAGTCAATGACTTTGTAAATTTGTTCTGTGGGGCTGGGCATCAGACATGTGTTGTTTTAAGTAACATGGAACATGGCCATGAATGCAAATGTCTGTTCAAAGGCTTAACTCAGCAATCAGGTTGTGATAGAACAGGGGAAAGGATTTTTCATTCTTCACGGGGGAAAGAGGTCCCAGGATAACAAGAGGGTGATGCCGTACAATGCAGCAGACTGCAGTGGGGGAACAAGACTGGGGAAGGTCTCTTGCTCGAAAGGAGGAGCTCTGACACAGTGTAGAGAGGGAGAGATTGGCCATGACAAAAAAAAAAAAAAGATAATGCCTTCAGAAATTTTTACACATACACATAGACTTACATAACCTAGAAAGGACACATGGACAAATTAGAAACATGGAACACGAAGACCTCAATAAACTCAACAAAAAAAAAAAAGTACTAAAAACATGCTACTCTCACATACTCTCTAAAAGAAAAGAAAATATCTGAAGGTTCCCAAGTGCCCTGCACAGGCACCATAATGAGCTCCTCCACATACCAAGCATGAATTCTCGAGTTTCTTAAAAAAAACACACAAAAAAAAAACACAGGCATACAGATTTATGAAAGGAATGTTCTCTAAAGCTGAGGGGGGCGGGGGCGGATGGATGAATGAACTCACTGGCTTCAGTGTTTTTCAGAGTCACTGTTAAACTTGTTCTCTGTGTGAAATCAGAATGAACAGAATATATTTGTGTACCACTTTCTAAAAAATGCTATTTAATATTATACAGTGGCATTACACTTTTAAATGGGTTTTAGGCTACTCATCCTCTTGTCATTCAAAAAGAAGATATTTTGAAAAATGTTAATTTTATGCACAAAAACACTGACATTAATTTTTTTTTGACTTTTCTGTAGTTTTCCACAAAAATTTTTGTTGAAGGTGAAAAAGGTCTTGATATCTTGCACTATAAGGTCTTATAGTTTGTCATCAAAAAAGAGATCTCTGGTTTGCAGATTTAAGGGAGGTCCAGTGTGAGGAATTTTCTATACAAGGTATCCAGTTTCCTCATCCCATCTTACTGTGCTCGGGGAGCAAGTTTCCTTCCTTCTTTCAGCTCTCTCTCTCTCTTTCTTGCTCCCTTCCTCCCATATTCTTCCTCTTTTTTTCTTAGCTTTCATGCACAACAGATGAGAGGCCCTGCTTGCATCTTGATTTAAAGGCTCTCTACAGTGCATAGTTGTGCAGCCGCAGCTGCAGTGCTTGGATACACCAGCACTATGTGTTCTATACTGGTGCCTTGGCACAAAACTCAACGTGCTTTCCTGTTTCTTTATACACATGAGGACATTTGATCTTTCACTTTCACTCCCCTTAGTATAAAATCCCCTTCCTTGTATAAAAAAATCCAAAGAATGGTATAGTATATAAAATCTGGCACATTTATTAAAAGTTTTATGTTATTTCAACATTATTTGAAGTCGGCATGTATAACAGAAATTCACTCTATTCAGATCTCTTCAAAATGCATCTTATTTTGAGTGATTCATCTGTGCATGTCTTGTTTTCTTGTTTTGATCTGGTAATTTTTAATAAAAAATGTCATCACACAATCTTCCAGTGAAACGACAGACTTCACTCTGGTGACATATGCAGGACTTCTCCAATCATTTAATCCAGTCGCCTAAACTCTGCCCCTTTCTTACAATCATGTGCATCTCACATTCAGATCTGCCTCTATGCAATCAACAACCAATGGGTAGAACCATGGCCGGACTTACCATTGGGCTTGAGTGGGCTGCAGCCCATGGGCCCCGCCTTGTTGGGGGCCCCGCCTTTGCCCGTTTACGTTTGTTTGATTTGTTCGTTATATGCCAGTCAGAATTCAGAAATTATTAGCCGCATTTCTTTCCACTGCGCACTGTAACACCAAGCCAGCAGAGGGAGCCCTCGCCCGAGTATTGACTGTTAGCACTCCCTCTGCTTTCTCTGCAACCACTTCCTGTTTAGTGGCCATATTAACCTGGCCACCACATGACTACTTTGCGAAGTATTGCCAGTTTATCCTGCCTTACCAAGCGTTTGTATCTCTGCCTTCTTACCACGTGTATGACCTGTTTATCTGTTTGTTTTGACTTCTCTTTTGGATTACCCCTTTTGCCTGTTTGCCTGGTTGGACTGCCTTACTGTGTTTTTGACCTCATTGCCTGTTTTTACTGACCCTGAGTTTGGTTTTGTTGGACTGCTTCAATAAACATCCGCATATGGATTCTTCCTCGGCTTCC